GCCTTGACATACTTCCCTCCGCAAAAAATGTTATCCCTCCCTCAGCAGTTTTCCATAAGTTTTGCGCTACCCTTTTGAATTTGGTGCAAGTATTTGATCACGTACCATCATAAAAGTCCCGATAGAATTCAATCTCATCTCCAAAAACGGATCGTGGAGGTCCAGCATGCCATTGTTTGCATAATGGTGAACCTTTGTGGCAGCCTCAGATACAAACTCCTAAATGTATTTTTTTCGCTAAACGCCGAAAAAATGAAAATCTGGAATTCACTTACGTCATACATCGCTTGACTGAATGTCCCATTTCGTTTTCCCTTCAGGATAAAACGCGCTGCTTCATTCAGATCGAGCCTTCCATTGTGAATACAATCGTATAGGGATCGAGTGCCGCAACTATTTCCTTCCATATGGTCCATTGTCGATTCTTGTTTGAATTCATCTTAAGTTAGCAAAATTTAGAAAATATCAATTTTACAAATTCTTAGTTTACTATACCACAAGCGCTACCGCAAGGCAGGTCCTCATCTTCCACAAGTGGGACAACGCGGCTATTTCTAAGCAGGTCTTTTTGATGTTCGGATTCTTGTTCTCTGAAAAGAAATGGCTGCTTTCTCAAAGGAAATCCCGATGTTTGATACTTACTCTAATAGTTGTAGGACATGATATGAGCTGTTACTAGTTTCTTCTTCCGTCAATGGCAACTGCAGTTCGGATTTAACCGGCTTCATTTTTTGTCCAACGTTAAATGGATTGCTGAAGAATTATTAGATGTTAAATTTCGGAAGTAGAAAATGGCATAAGGACTAGGATAAGTGACATAATTATTATGGAAAAAGAGACAGGTTGTGGTCCAATAGCAAGAGCACGCAAGAAAAATGTAGCTTTTAAACCCAACCTATCCTCAACGTTCATAAATTTCACTGAACTTTTGCGCTTTCTAATAAGCAATTTTTCTATAGATGCCCCACAATCATAATCTGTCATTACCCTACAAACCAAAAGCTAAAACTGAAAAACTAAAAAAGAAAACTTCAAACTTGATTCCTCGGTTTTGTAGAAAAATCTGGAACCGTCAGCTCCTTAAGGACAATTTTTTTTGGTAGGAAAAAAACTATACTCTTTCTTTACAATAATATGAGGCTAGAGAAAGAGCGGCCTATTGATTACTTTTACA